TCGCACTAACCGAGACTCCCTGATTCCCATCCATAAGCTAATTCGTCAATTGGAGAGCCAAGGAGTGATCAGCAAGACCCATTCACCTTTCAATAGCCCCATATGGCCAGTGCGAAAGTCTAATGGCGAGTGGAGACTAACAGTGGACTATCGCGGCCTGAACGAAGTCACGCCACCACTGAGTGCTGCAGTGCCGGACATGCTGGAACTTCAGTATGAACTTGAATCGAGGGCAGCCAAGTGGTACGCCACAATTGATATCGCTAATGCATTTTTCTCCATCCCTCTAGCAGCAGAGTGCAGGCCACAATTTGCCTTCACTTGGAGGGGAGTTCAATATACTTGGAATAGGCTGCCCCAGGGGTGGAAACACAGCCCTACCATTTGCCATGGGCTGATCCAGTCTGCGCTAGAGCAGGGGGAAGCTCCTGAACACCTGCAGTACATCGATGACATTATTGTGTGGGGTGACACAGCAGAGGAAGTTTTCGAGAAAGGGAAGAAAATAGTCCAAATCCTTCTGAAAGCCGGTTTTGCCATAAAACAGAATAAAGTCAAAGGACCTGCACGAGAGATCCAGTTTTTAGGAATAAAATGGCAAGATGGACGTCGTCAAATCCCAATGGATGTGATCAACAAAATAACAGCTATGTCTCCACCAACTAACAAAAAAGAAACACAGACTTTCCTAGGTGTTGTGGGGTTTTGGAGAATGCACATCCCAAATTACAGTCTGATTGTAAACCCGCTCTACCAAGTAACCCGTAAGAAGAATGAGTTTGAATGGGGCCCTGAACAACGACAAGCCTTTGAACAAATCAAGCAGGAAATAGTCCATGCAGTAGCCCTTGGGCCAGTTCGAACAGGACCAGATGTAAAGAATGTGCTCTACACTGCAGCCGGGGAGAACGGCCCCACCTGGAGCCTCTGGCAGAAAGAACCTGGGGAAACTCGAGGTCGGCCCCTGGGGTTTTGGAGTCGGGGATACAGAGGATCTGAGGCCCGCTATACTCCAACTGAAAAGGAGATATTGGCAGCATATGAAGGAGTTCGATCTGCTTCGGAGGTGGTCGGTACTGAAGCGCAGCTCCTCCTAGCACCCCGATTGCCGGTACTAGGCTGGATGTTCAAGGGAAGGGTCCCCTCTACGCATCATGCAACTGATGCTACATGGAGCAAGTGGGTTGCATTGATTACTCAGCGGGCTCGAATAGGAAACCCCAGTCGCCCAGGAATATTGGAAGTGATCATGGACTGGCCAGAAGGCAAATACTTTGGGATATCATCAGAGGAGGAGGTGGGTCGTGCTGAAGAAGCCCCACTGTACAACCAGTTGCCAGAGAATGAAAAGAAATATGCCCTGTTCACTGATGGGTCCTGTCGTATTGTGGGGAAGCATCGGAGATGGAAGGCTGCTGTATGGAGTCCTACGCGACGAGTTGCAGAAGCTGCTGAGGGAGAAGGTGAATCGAGTCAGTTTGCAGAAGTGAAAGCCATTCAGCTGGCTTTAGACATTGCTGAACGAGAAAAATGGCCAGTTCTCTATCTCTACACCGATTCATGGATGGTAGCAAATGCCCTGTGGGGATGGTTACAGCAATGGAAGCAAAACAACTGGCAGCGTAGGGGCAAACCCATCTGGGCTGCTGCATTGTGGCAAGATATTGCTGCTCGGGTAGAGAACCTGGCTGTGAAAGTACGCCACGTAGATGCTCATGTGCCCAAAAATCGGGCTACTGAAGAACATCAAAACAACCAGCAGGTGGATCAGGCTGCTAAGATTGAAGTAGCTCAGGTGGACTTGGATTGGCAGCATAAAGGTGAATTATTTATAGCCCGATGGGCCCATGATACCTCAGGCCATCAAGGTAGAGATGCAACATACAGATGGGCTCGTGATCGAGGGGTGGACTTGACCATGGATGCTATAGCACAGGTTATTCATGACTGTGAAACATGTGCTGCAATCAAGCAAGCCAAACGGTCAAAGCCTCTTTGGTATGGAGGACGATGGCTGAAATATAAATATGGAGAGGCCTGGCAGATTGATTACATCACACTCCCTCAAACTCGCAATGGCAAGCGCCACGTACTTACAATGGTGGAAGCAACCACCGGATGGCTGGAAACATATCCTGTGCCTCATGCCACCGCCCGGAACACCATCCTGGGCCTTGAAAAGCAAGTCCTATGGCGACATGGCACCCCAGAAAGAATAGAATCAGACAATGGGACTCACTTCCGAAACAACCTTATAGACACTTGGGCCAAAGAACATGGTATTGAATGGGTGTATCACATCCCCTATCATGCACCAGCCTCCGGGAAAGTTGAACGATACAATGGCCTGTTAAAGACTACCTTGAAAGCAATGGGCGCTGGGACGTTCAAAAACTGGGATACGCATTTAGCAAAGGCCACTTGGTTAGTCAATACTAGGGGATCTACCAACCGAGCTGGACCTGCCCAATCAAACCTGTTACGTACTGTAGATGGGGATAAAGTTCCTGTAGTGCATGTAAAAAATATGCTGGGTAAAACAGTCTGGGCTACTCCTGCCTCAGGAAAAGGCAAACCTATTCGTGGAATTGTTTTCGCTCAGGGACCTGGATACACTTGGTGGGTGATGCAAAAGAACGGAGAGGTCCGGTGTGTACCTCAAGGAGATTTAATACTGGGTGAGAATAGCCCATGAACTGAATTGTACCATGTTAAATAGTATATTATACTGTATGTTATCACTACCATGATTACTATAGGTGACTAATTAGAATGTATGGAAAAGAGTGTAACCTGAGCATGACATAAATGGTATGGAATAAGGGGTGGATAGATGTCCTGGTTTCAGTTAGCACAGAATTAATTTTCTTCCTAGTAGCTGGTGGAATGCTGTGTTTTGGCTTAGGATGAGAAGAGTGCTGATAACACCCCGATGCTTTAATTGTTGCAGAGCAGTGCTTATACTAAGCCAAGGACATCTCAGCCTTTTGCTCTGTCCTGCCAACGGGCAGGCTGGGGGTGCAGTAAGAGCTGGGAGGGGACAGACCCAGGACAGGTGACCCAAACTAGCCAAAGGGGTATTCCATACCATCTGACGTCATGCTAAACAATATATAGGGGTGGCTAGCTGGGGGGGAAGGGGCCGGACTGCTCGGGGTTAGGCTGGGCATCGGTCAGCGAGTGGTGAGCAATTGCATTGTGCATCACTTGTTTGTACATACTATTATTACTTTCCTATTATCATCATTGTATTATTATTGTTATTATTTTTATTATTATTTTGTTATTATTATTTTCCTGTCTTATTAAACTGTCTTTATCTCAACTCACGGGCTTCACTTTCCATTTCTCTCCCCCGTCCCAGAGAGGGAGGGGGGAGGGTGAGCGAACGGCTGCGTGGTGTTTAGCTGCCGGCCGGGTTAAACCACGACAATATACATTGATGAGGTCTCATCAATGGCCCACCTCTTTCAGCCTGTCCTCGTACGAGAGGTGCTCCAGTCCTATAATCATCTTAGTAGCCCTCCTCTGAACTCGCTCTAGTAGTTATATGTAGCTCTAGTAGCTCTAGTAGCTCTATGTTCCTCTTGTACTGGGGAGCCCTGAACTGGTCCCCCACAAGCAGTGGCCTCTGCCAGATCACGTGCTCCACCATGGGCTCCTCTCCACCAGGTCTGGCCTTGAGTCTGCTCCTGTGGGGGCTCTCCATGGGCCACAGCCTCCTTCAGGCCACATCCACCTGCTCCACTGTCGGCTACTCCATGGGCTGCAGTGCATAGATCTGCTCCGCCATAGTACACCATGGGTTGCGGGGGGACAACCTGCTTCACCATGGTCCTCTCCACAGGCCATAGGGCAACTTCTGCTTCAGAACCTGGAGCACCTCCTCCCCCTCCTTCTTCACTGACCTTGGTGTCTGCCTCATTGTTTCTCTCCCATTTTTTTTCGCTCCTCTCTCCCAGCTGCTGTTGCATAGCTGTTTTTTCCTTTTCTTAAATCTGCTCTCACAGAGGCGCAACCAGAGTTGTTCATGTCTCACCTCTGCCCAGCAGCAGGTCCCTTTTGGAGCTGGCTGAAACTGGCTCTTATCTAACATGGGGCAGCTCCTGGGCTCTTCTCACAGAGGCCATCCCTGCAGCCCCGTGCTACCAAGTCTTTGCCATGTTGTCGTGGTTCCGCTCGAGTGGGCAGCCACTCCCACAGCAGCTGGGAGAGTGAGAGGAGTGAGGACCATGGTGAAGCAGGATGTCCCCCTGCAGCCCATGGAGTACCACAGACCGCAGGGGACTTCTGCTCCGGCGCCTGGAGCACCTCTCCCCCTCCTTCTTCACTGACCTTGGCGCCTGCAAGGCTGTTCCTCACTCCTCTCACTCTCCCAGCTGCTGTGTGGCGCAGCGTTTTTTTCCCTGTCTTAAATATGCTCTCACAGAGGCGCAAAACAACATCGCTTATTGGCTCGGCTCTGGTCAGCAGTGGGGCCCTTCCCAAACATGGGGCAGCTTCTAGATCCTTCTCACAGAAACCACCCCTATGGCCCCCTGCTACCAAAACCTTGCCACGTAAACACATGTAAGCCGAATACACACACTTGAAAAGTCTTATTCAAAGTGTTGTGCTTTCTTCAGAATTCAGGTTTTTATATTAATTCTTCCTTAGGTTAACAATGAAGTTTAGACTTTCCTTTTGAAGTATATGAGTTAATAGTGGAGAAGAACAAGTAGGAAAAATTGCTGTTGGACAGAATTTAATAGACTCTTCTAAGATTACACTGAAATTTTTAGGACCTATTCTGACAAGGGCATGTGTCTCCAATGTTAGTACTCCACTTTCCATATTACAGAATTGCAGCACAATACTGCCTTCTGTGTTATTTAGGAATTGTGAGAACAGGTATATTCCATGACTCAGGATTGTTTAGAAGCTATTAGATGCACTGAAGCACTAGTCAGTCATTTTTTATAAGGTAAACTAACCTATATTTCTGGTGTTTGCGTTTACAGATACAGCAAGTACAGACTGTGCAACCAGTACAGCATGTCTACCCACCCCAGATTCAGTACGTGGAGGGAAGTGACACAGTCTACACAAATGGAGCTATGTAAGTTGGTTATTGATCAAATTTATAATGTTTACTAAAATATGAATTTAAATGCACATTCTTTTAATGACGTCATATGGACTACTGTATTTTAAGTAGCAAAGTCAAATTATGAGCCCTCAGATGTTGCAATTCACATATAATAGAACAAATATAGTTTTTCCTTTTTTTTTTCTAAAGAAAAGTATTTCCAATCCTTTGTTTCATGTTTGAACTTCAACCTAAATATGACATAGCATAGAAGTAAAAATGTTGCTACTTGTAGATCTTAAATGACATTCAGTGTATATTTGCATAAAGTAATGAAAAGCGTAGTAAGCTTTGTTTACCTCGGATTGTATCATTCTCTGTGGAATGGAATGGAATGGAATACAATACTACATCCTGAGTTGGAAGGGACCCACAAGGGTCATCAAGTCCAACTCCTGGCACCACACAGGGGTCTATCCAAAAATTCAGACCACATGACTGAGAGCATAGCCCAAATGCTTCTTAAACTCCAACAGGCTTGGTTCTGTGACTGTTCCTGGGGAGCCACTTCAAATGTGCGACCACCCTCTCGATGAAGAACCTTTTCCTGATATCCAACCTGAACCTCCCTTGTCACAGCTTGACTACATTCCCTCGGGTCCTATCACTGGTCACCAGGGAGAACAGATCTGTGCCTGCCCCTCCGTTCCCCCCCATGAGGAAGCTGTAGCCCACGATGAGGTCTTCCCTCAGCCTCCTCTTTTTGAGGCTGAACAAACCAAGTGACCTCAGCTGCTCCTCATATGTCTTCCCCTCTAGGCCCTTCACCATCTTTGTAGCCCTTCTCTGGACAGTCTCCAATATTGTTCATGGCACTGGAAAGCCAACTTACAAAGCTTTTTGTAAAATTGCAAATGGCTTAGGTCAAGGCACCTAAAAATGAAAGAACAAAAATACAATGAAAAAGGTAGCAAGTTGACTGCTGTGGTTTAACCTAGCCGGTATCTAAGCACCACACAGCTATTTGCTCACCCTCCCCCCTCCCTCTCTGGGATAGGGGAGGGAATCAGAAAAAAAATCTGAAAGCTTGTGGGTTCAGATAAGGACAGTTTATTAGAACAGAAAAGAAAGGGTAACGGTTACGTTCAACATCAACAACAGCATTCCACCCTCGGTGGATGAAGAAACACAAGAAGATCAGAAAACCGATGAGCAGGAGCCTGATTACATCAACTCCGAACTTTGTTGTGGAAGTAGTTATAGATTAAAAATAATAATAATAGTACTACTAATAACAATGTGTACAAAACAAGTGATGCACAGTGCAATTGCTCACCACCCGCTGACCGATGCCCAGCCTATCCCTGAGCAGCCAGTCCCCTTCCCCCCAGCTAGCCACCCCTATATATTGTTCGGCATGGCGTCAGATGGTATGGAACACCCCTTTGGTCAGTTTGGGTCACCTGTCCTGGGTCTGTCCCCTCCCAGCTCCTGCTGCACCCCTAGCCTGCCTGCTGGCAGGACAGAGTGAGAAGCTGAAAAGTCCTTGGCTTGGTGTAAGCACTGCTCTGCAACAATTAAAACATCAGCGTGATATCAACATTATTCTCATCCTAAATTTGAAAGACAGCCCCATACGAGCTACTAGAAGGAAAATTAACTCTATCCTAGCCAAAACCAGGACAATATAGCCACCCCTTATTCCATACCATTTATGTCATGGTTACACACTTTCCAATACATTCCAATTAATCATCACTTTTCATATATGTATATATAATGTCCACTGAGTGTGTGTAGTCCATGACTGACTTCGGGATCCATCTGTCACAGCAGTCTTTCAGAGCAGAAGAGATGGTGTGTGATGTTGGATCGTCACACGTTGAAGCCTGTTCTCGTTCCATCATATCTCTGCTTGTCCATTTCTATCAAAATTCATTCATCATTATCTGTGTGGCAGTTACTGTGATACCATTAATAGGACATTGACATATAGCAATCAGGGTAGTGATGACATACAGTATCATATAATAACTAACATAATACAATTCAACTCATGAGCTATTCTCATCCAGTATTAAATCCCTTTGAGGTATACATTGGACCTTCCCATTCTTTTGCATTACCCACCAAGTGCATCCAGGTCCCTGAGCAAAAGCAATACCACAAATGGATTTGCCTTTTCCTGAGGCAGGAGTAACCCAGACTGTCTTCCCTAGCATGTTTCCTACATGTACTATAGCGACTTTATCCCCTTCTACAGTACGCAACAGGTTTGATTGGGCAAGTCCATTTTGGATACCCTAGTGTTGACTAACCAGGTGCCCTTTGCCAAATGCATATCCCAATTTTTGAATGTCACAGCACCCATTGCCTTCAGTGTGGTCTTTAACAATCCATTGTATTGCTCAACTTTCCCGGAGGCTGGTGCATGATAGGGGATGTGATACACCCACTATACACCCACTCAATACCACGCTCTTTGGCCCAAGTGTCTATAAGGTTGTTTCGGAAGTGAGTCCCATTGTCTGATTCTATTCTTTCTGGGGTGCCATGTCGCCATAGGACTTGCTTTTCAAGGCCCAGGATAGCGTTCCGGGCGCTGGCATGAGGCACAGGATATGTTTCCAGCCATCCGGTGGTTGCTTCCACCACTGGAAGTATGTGGCGCTTGCTGTTGCGGGTTTGAGGGAGTGTGATGTAATCAATCTGCCAGGCCTCTCCATATTGATATTTCAGCCATCGTCCTCCATACCAAAGAGGCTTTGACCATTTGGCTTGCTTCATAGCAGCATGTCTCATAACCATGAACAACCTGTGCTATAGTGTCCATGGTCAGGTCCACCCCTTGATCACAAGCCCATCTGTGTGTTACATCTCTGCTTTGATGGCCTGAGGTGTCATGGGCCCATCGAGCTATAAATAATTCACCTTTATGTGGCCAGTCCAGATCTACCTGAGACACTTCAATCTTAGCAGTCTGATCCACCTGCTGGTTGTTTTGATGTTCTCCACTGGACCCGTTCTTGGGTATGTTAGCATGTACGTGGCGTACCTTTACAACCAGGTTCTCTACCCGGGCAGCACTATCTTTCCACAATGCTGCAGCCCAGATGGGCTGCAACTGCCAGTTGCTTTGCTTCCATTGCTTCCATTGCTTTAACCATCCTCACAGGGCATTTGCTACCATCCATGAATCAGTGTAGAGATAGAGAACTGGCCACTTTTCTTGTTCAGCAATATCTAAAGCCAGCTGAATGGCTTTCACTTCTGCAACTGACTCGATTCACCTCCTTCAGCAGCTTCTGCAACTCATCGTGTAGGACTCCATACAGCAGCCTTCCATCTCCAGTGCTTCCCCACAATACGACAGGACCCATCAGTGAAGAGGGCATATTGCTTCTCATTCTCTAGTATCTTGTTGTACAGCGGGGCCTCTTCAGCATGTGTCACCACCTCCTCTGGTCATATTCCAAAATCTTTTCCTTCTGGCCAGTCCATAATCACTTCCAAGATTCCTGGGTGAATGAGGTTTCCTATTTGAGCCCGCTGGGTAATCAGTGCAACCCAATTCCTACATGTAGCATCAGTTGCATGATGTGTAAAGGGGGTCCTTCCTTTGAAAATCCAGCCCAATACCAGCAGTTGGGGTGCCAGGAGGAGCCTCCGGGCAGATCTTCAGTACCAACCACTTCTGAAGCAGATTGAACTCCTTCATATGCTGCCAATATCTCCTTTTTGGTTGGAGTGTAGTGGGCATCAAATCCTCTGTATCCCTTGTTGCCACTCTCCATGCTACCCCAGCCCGAGAGACAACATCGGTTGGCTGCCTGGATGTCTGCTCCCCAAGCAGGGACACCAGAGACGGACACGCGCGTGTCTAGCTCAAGTGCCAATTTATTGCTGCGTAGCATAGTTTCTCATACCTGTACACGCGACTGCCCCGGATCCCCGTGACCCTCTGTTCCACCCACGGTCCCTCCCAATCCTCCCTCCACATCTCCCCCCACATCTCCCCCCTCCTTATGCTATATATCACTCCCCCTTTGTCGCACCCCCTTTTCCCGTTACAAAAGATATTAGCATAGTACAATGTTAGCTAAAGGCAATCATTCTCTTCTTCTTGTGGCAGGCACTGCCATCCGTTATTAAGAAGCAGGTTAATATTCACTGTTCGCAGGACTAGCTTTTCAAGCATCTGTTGCAATAGTCGAAAGAGCTGGGGCAGGAAGAGCACACCAACACCCAATAATATCACCACCGACAAAACTGCCGATAAAAGAGAGGTTATCCACGAATCTGGCATTCCCAGCCAATCTAGTCAGCCCTTCCCCCACCAGTCTCGGTAAATGCGATCTCCATACGAGCTCTTCAACAACTCCTCAACCGCACCCTTGGCTCGCTCAATTGCCATTGTCGCGTTCTTTGTCCAATCAATACAACAGAAACCTTTGACGCCAGCATCCTCCAACTCAGAGCAACCGATGCCGGTTCGAGCAAGCAAGTAGTCCACAGCCAGCCTTGTCGAGGACAATCCTTCTTTAAGAGCTTCCATGCCATCGATGAGGTTTGTCAAAGCCTTTGCTATGCGGTTGGCATTCTTCAGTGCCCAACAAGCTAACCGCTCAATCGTCTTAGTATTTCGAATGAGCTGTGGGAATATAAAAAGTGTCTCAACAATTGTTTGTGCTCAGGTAGTCAAATACCATCCGTCATCGCAGTCCGGATCTAGAGTGGGTTCTTTCAACGAGTGCCTGTGACGGCTCCCCGCCTCCCCTGTGGCATTCCTGATGCCATCGGGCGCGAGGGGACTAACTGCCAAAGTACCAAGTGCGCAAGGTCTGCCATAAGCATTAGGGGGAATAGTCAGGTAAGCCTGACCACCCCCACAAAGCAAGAAGATTCCCTGCGGCAAACGCAAAAGTATCGAGGGACTGTCAAATACCACGATTGTCGCCCACCTCTTATCATCATATTCTGCACCGGGCAGATGCATCGGAGGGATCGTCTCTGCCATGGTAGCATCCAGC